ATCTTTGATTGTCGTCAACTCGCCAGGATATCACAAGATGAAAGTACCATTCTGTTTGGTAGCCGTGGGTGCCTTTTCCAGCCTGGCTTTTGCTACCATCCTACAGAATGGTCAAATCCGCAAGACCGAATATCCAAATACTGTCTTCAATGCTTCAACAGCTCAATTTAAGACATATCCTCCGAATGCCACAGAGCTATCCTACAAAGGACGATGGGATAGTAAGCATATAAGTTGGTGGTCGTCAGTTACCCCACGTTAGCAGTTAGTTCGGGTGCTTACATTAGGATAGTGCACCTGGGTTGAAATTTGGATTCACTGGACAACAGGTGGCAATAACCTTTGGTGCTTATACGACTGATACGACTCTCATTGGATACCGAATCGATGGACAAGACTGGCAGTTTACCAATGTCACCACTAATGCTACACATTTGCTTGTCAGTCCGAGTACTCCTGGAGCCAATTTATCGAGTCCCGTCAACCCATCCACTTTTGAGATGCGAGTTACTAATTGGGCATACGGAGTACAAATAGCTGCCGTTCATGTTGGAAAATCAGAGATACTTATCAAGATTCCAGACTTTGGAAGGACAATTGAAGTGATAGGCGATTCTCTCTCAGCGGGCCAATATTCGACGTTGGAGGGATTGTCAAGCTACTCGTATGGCTTGGGTGCAGGTCTTGGCAACACCGAGTACACCCTGACGGCATATCCTGGCATCTGCTTGTTTGACAAACAATGCTACGGGAACCTTCGAGGCATGTTCTACCAATGGTTCTTTACATCGGATACAAGCGGAAGGGCAATCGAGATTTGGGCCGACAATCCTGAGGTTTGGGATTTTGCAAATCGTCAAGCAGCTGACATCGTGGTCATCAATCTCGGTACGAATGATAACAATTCTGTCAACAATGTAACAACGACTGGTTATGTTGCACAATATACGATGCTCATTGAAGGCGTCCATACTGTTTATCCGAAAGCACAAATTGTGTTGATTGTACGTCTCTTTACACATCTTCTGGCCACAGCTAACAGTCCGCAGGGCCTTTGGGGAGGCTTTAGTGCCACTGGCAACACTTTTGAGCAGTCTACATTGACTTCGAATACTGGCTATGTCCCACAGATTTATTCGATTTACCAGTACTTCAACTCCAAAGAGTATCTACAGAACCCGGTGCTGTATGATCCAGTTAAGAATGCGACTTATTTATCACATACACAAAGTGATCCGTTTGTCCATTACTTCAACACGACCGGCATATTGCAGCACAACGACATTGGGCCTCAGTACCATCCAACCGATGTTGGACATATCAAACTTGCGAGTCACCTGATCCAATACATCAAGCTGAAATTCGATTGGCCTTTGTATGCTACTGGACCCGAGATACAACACGATACGCTTTATGTAACTAACCCTTTCCTTTGTCTGTCCTCCTCGCTACTCATTGGACTTGCTGTGTCCGGATACCCAGCCCATGTTTCATCTTCTTCGGCTCTTATTCTTTGCAGAAAACATGATACTAATTCGTTGTAGTGAAATGATCAGTCATCTTATTGATAAGAGAAAAACAATTGTCGATTGTTCGATCTTGCATAAAATCGAGAAATATTATTCTTTTCTCGAAACTGGTCAATTAATACAACGTTGTTTGCTTGTAACATCTTACAGTTTTTCCGCTCGTTATTGTATCTGAATATTGTTTTAAATTGATCTCTTACCAATTTCTGAACTCCTGTGTTCGACGAAGAAAGCGCGAAGCCAAGCTATTGGCAATTAAGGCACAATGTCAATCCTATAAGCTTGGTGGTTGATTTCCTCGAGTTTGGTTAGCCGCTCTCTGCGTCGTGTGAGCGCAGAAAAAATCCCAGCCCATTTCAGGAACAGGGATTGAAGTAAATTTAATCTTAACTGTGCCGCAACCACAAGAAGGAGTCTTAAACCAACATGCAAGGGCCTTATTCTCGGCACAACTTCCTGTTGGTCGAAACGACATGTTGGATCAATATGATGATGGATGTGCATGTGTCTCGACCTTTTGTCATGTCTTCCCGTGGTTGAAGAAAAATCCGCGCAGCTCGCTATCTCACGCTGTACTCCGTATTGCAAATCTTCTCGAAGCTCACCCTACAGATGTCGAGAAAGTCTCAATATGTTCCACACGCCCATCATTACACTAGTGGCAATCGTCCTCGCCAGCCTCGTCCTAACCCAGACCAACACGACAACTCTCGACCCCAACACTGTTTCCTCGACAGTCCGTTCTCAATGGTGTCAGAGTCAAATAAATACCTGTGGCATTCTATGCAGCGACTCAGTAAACAGTAATGCGTGTGACGCCGATACTTTAACGTACGACTGCACTTGCACTTCCAACAATTCCAGCCCCGACCTTGCTGCCTATTCGCAAACACTCCCAACATTCATCTGCGAGCAGCTTTACTCAAACTGTATTTCAACCGCCGGGAACAATGCTTCAGCGCAAGCAGCGTGCCAAGCAAATATCGAAGACGATTGTGGAAAGCTCGATCCCGCTGACTTTGCCGCGTCACAACCATCCAGTTCTTCCTCGTCCCAATCGTCATCTTTCGTCTCGAGTACCATATTACACACCACATCAAGTTCTGGTCCAAGTCCTGGGAGCAGCCTCAGCACCAATAGTCGACCCAGTAGCACAAGCAATCTTGTTCCAACATCATCTAGTTCCTCTGCCCAAAATCTAGGAAGCGTCACGGCATTAAGTCCTTCCACATCGCCGTCTGCTACATCAGTACCAACGGGCTCAACAGGCTTGACCACTGGTGACAAAGCAGGGATTGGTATCGGGGTTACAATAGGAGTCTTACTCTTGTGTTTTGGGGGATATTTACTAGGACGACTTCATCTAGGGGTATCTGCGCAACGAACAAACAAACATCCCGATGTTCCAGAGCTTAGTACAAATGCGCTGTATGAGGTACCCCAGTTGGAAACAAAGGAGAGACCCGGAGAACTCGCTGCAGCTGCGATAATAAGGCGTCATGAATTGCAATGAGGATTGCTGGCGATGAGACTTACTGAATGGTAACTTTCGTCCCCGATACACGACCCTCGACTGGACATCTGAGTCACAGAATGCTGGTCTCTGCCTCCATGAAGCTGGATCTGGGCCAAAATAGGACCGAGTTTTACACAGTACTTTGTATCATCTTCTTCGAGCTGATAAGATCTCCATGCACTGAATACGCGTGAATGAAATCCGTCAGCGCGTCAGGTGATTGGAGACTGTACGACATCGCCATCGCATGATTTCCACCCAGCAAACCATCCTATGAGGCTCGAAGCGCTCAAACCTTGCCAACGATTTCTATCCTTGGAGAGTACAGTGATACGGTCGACTTGCCTCTACCCCAGTTTGCGCGTTTGATCGACCTTGCTGCAGATGACATCCATGAAGAAGGATTCAATGTATGGAAAGAACCACCTCTGTCAAATTCACGCAGACAGAGCCGCAAAGACATTCAAACCAATTCATTAGCTCCTATATAAATACAGTATTCAACCCACAAGCTGCGGGCATTAACTGAGTCAAATGTCCGTCCAAGACCCGCTCTAGTACCAAAGTGCCATCATCTCTGTCAAGATTCTTCTCTTTCAAAACATAAGTTTCCCGTGAATGTTGAGATTAGAGAAGGACTTGAATTTGGTCTCGATAGCCCAGCTAAAAAGCAAGAATCCATCAGATCCAAGCTGCCTATATCTGTCTCACCAAGCACGAATTCTCTGCTTATGGTGTACTTGTAAGCTGGTAATCTTCCGATGACCTCTGTCAGCGAGTCTTTTCAACCGTTACTATCCCCTAGGTCATCGAAGAAGAAGCTACATATCGACTCAAAGTTTCCTATATTTTCAGTCTTTGCAGTATATATGGAAATTTCTAACCCAAGATTCTGAACTTGAGGAGGCGTTCGGGGTGCTGAATTAAGTTCGAGTGAGGAGTTGCCTAGCCTAGTTTATAATCTGATTCGAACACATGTTCCTCGCTGGTCAGAACTTGGAATCAGTGACAGTGTTTGGGGGAGAGGGATGGGCGGCGCGGAGGATGAGTTGGGCTGTATGTGTGCGAGGCTGGAGTTTGCAGAGGAGGAGCGGGGCTTACGTATTTAGTGCAGCTAGGACTGGAAGGGCTGACTGGAAGTTAGAGGAGGGAACACTTCTTCCTCTTCGAGTGAGAGCATGATAGCTTCACCGCGACAGAGACTGGCATGAGTAATTACCTCATCTGTACAAGCTAGACCTGGTTTTGCGCCTCTGGCTGTGTCTACAGGTACTTATACGCCGAAGCTCGTGCTCCCCTAAAAGATTTGGCTTTGGATCGGGGTACAGGCGGGGAGCATTGTCATTTCTTTGTTTGTAAGATGGCCTTTATTGATTAGTTGATCACTACTGGGCCAAGCGTACTCTCATACTTGAGTAAAGCAGGAGAGCGACGAGGGGAAAGCAGTGCCAGAGCAAGTTGCTCCGAGAAAACTAAGAAGCTTGCTTCCCCCTGCATTGGGCTCCACGGCGCCGAGGAAGTTGGGTCGACTAGGGAAGAGGTTTGCTGGTCATGGGGAAACGGGAGCATGGTAAATAGTAGATAGTACTTTAAAAGGACAGTTCCTTCAGCATAGCAATTTTCAGCAAGACACCAAATTTCCTCTCATCCCAATATAACACCACCATCATGCGCATATCTCAACCCTCTTCAAACCCCACAATCATCTCAAAAAGCCCTCATTTTTTTTTCATTCAAAAAATAGAACATAGATCACCACCACATGTAATCCCCAAACGCAAAGTATAAATCCACGGCGCGTCTGAAAAAGGAAGGCACCATCTATCCCGATTCAAAAAAGACTTGACCCTAACAAGGTAGCTTCCGCTGCGGGAGGGAGGAAGGTGTGAGTCATACATAGTTGGACCCGAAACCGAATCCACCCTATATAGTTTCCAATAAGCAAAATGGCTGTTAGCATTTTGGCGCAGAGGAAGCGCGCTGGGCTCATAACCCAGAGGGCTCTGGATCAAAACCAGAAAGTGCTACTTCGAACATCACCCCTTTTTTTGTTTGTTCTTTACACTTATGATTTTTTTTTGAGAGAAGGAGGCGAGTGGGGAAAGTTCGGTTAATATTCGGGTTTGAGATGCGGAGATGTGGGATGGAATTTGTGTCTGGAATTTTGGTTTTTCTTCTTGGATGGGATTTGGGCGTGGATTAAGAGGGAGCTGTGTTTTGGGGTATTCGGGCTTTTTCTTGTGGTTTTGCGACTTTTTTTTAGTAGAGTGATACAAGCGAGGACAAGCGAGATCTGCGGAGAAAAGGGGTGGATGCTTAGCAATGGGTACAGCGTTGATAAATGCACAACAAAATGATTGTATATAGGGTCTACAGCAATAAATTGTATGCTCTTTGCGATGGCCGCTGAATATAATGAAATCTGTCAGCACCTAAAGCTGTATTCTGCAACATTGACCTCTCGTCGAGCGATGAACTGTGTGGCTCCACTTATGAATCAGCGAGGAGAGATCCACCAGAGAAAGCTTAGCATTCTAAACAGTGCGGATACATCAAAAAAATGTTGCGAAATATGATAAAAGGCACATAGAGACAATTGCCAAACCGGCAAAAATAACGAAAGGGCCGATAACGAATGTCGAGGGACAAGTAACCATGATACGAAATTCGATACCTCGAATCCATCAACCAACGCAACACTCGACGCAAAAGAGAAAGGGAAAGGAGAATTGTCTTGGCAATAATATAATCGAAGCTTTTCTGCAGCGCGTAGCGGATAAGTCGCCCTCGTACGAGATCTCCTGATGGCGATGTAGCATCTCCGAGGCAACTTCACCTTCAAGACCTCCTTCTGGATATACTTTCTTGTAACACTTCGAATGCTGCACTTCACGTCGAAGAAAGGCGGCACTCTCACGATGGGAAAATGTTGGGTGAAAGCTGTCGTTATATATAAAGTTAGCCAGTCATCAGGCTGATCTGACGGCTGCTTCAGAAATCTCACAGCCTCCCGAGATCCCATCCCCTGAAGGCCGTTTAATCGACCCGTTCGGATCGTCAGATTAACGATCGTCGTACGAGATCTTCCAAAGAAGGTGTTCATCTGAACTTTTTTGGGATGCACTCACAGCGAATTCCCTCAATTCGACGTCGGTTTTTGCGCAAGCAAGCAGCGTCGCGCACATGGCCATCACCATGACAACGTCTCTCTCCCAACCTCTTCAATTTTTCCCACGCTCCCCTTCTCCGCTCCCCAAACACACCGTCACCCAAGAACTCTTCTCGGCGTAACCCTACGTTCGACCCCAGAATTTCTCAAACGGTCCCATGTCATGCACGCTCACCAGGTCATCCTCCGACTCTCCAAGTTTCACAACCCCGCGGCCCGCGAAGATCACCCACCAGCATCCAGCGCTCAGATCACACCGCATTGCATGATCCCTCTTGTTCACCCTACCAAACCCCTTGCCGGAGGCCGGCGGCCCTGTCCATCCCATGCCACTCGCCGGCTACCTTTCCGTCCCATCCCCATCCCATCCCATCCCATAACTCTCCTACCCAAACGGTGCTGCCCAGGAACCTGTCACCGTTTCGAAAATCATCTTATATCGTCCTCATGCTATATCGGATATCGGATATCGGGCGGTCAATTGTTTCGTCGGCGGTGCGCCGCATAGGGAGCCAAGCACGCCCACATCCCAAACCGAAGCTGGCTGGCTATCCGGAGACCGGTGTCTGAGTTTTTCGGCGCAAAACGGTTTTATACCCCTCTCCTTCCCTCCCCTCCCCTTCCTCTTCACGCTCTCCTCTCATGAATGCAAGGTATATAAGTGTCGATCTTAAGGCTGCTCGGTTCCTACCTAGGTTGTTGTTCCTTAGTCAGGATCAGGGTCTCTACCGACGTCCGTCCGTCGTTCAAACTTCAAAGATTATTCCCCCGTTTTGAAAATTGGGGGGTTTCCCTCAATTAAATGCGAGGAAGGAAGGGTAGGTACTGTATCATTACCGTCCTGCCATACCACTGCCATTGATTCCACTCCCCAATATGCCCGTTGCCCATTGCCTACATATCCACCCATTTAATTTTTTGGCCTGGCATAGCACTCGAACGAGCCGAACCCAAAGCGAATGCCCGAAAAAAAAACATTGGGGCTGCGGTTTCCCGTATTCCCGGCGCCAAATCGATTCGCATGCATCAATCGGCAGCGCTTCCGCGACATGATTACCTTACTACTGCCCGTCCCTTTCGAGATTTGGGGACAAGTGCATGATTGGGCCAAGGGAAACGTGCTATGCACAGTACCGTATAGTAGTCTAGTATAGTATAGTTCGACGAACATAACATCCAGTACACACGGAAGAAAACACGCGATACCAGAATTTTGCTCTCCCAGCTTTTCTTTGACAGGTTTTGTGATGCAATGCAATGCAGTGCAGTGCAGCCGTCGCATCCGAACCAGAACATTCATTGACATTGACGTTGGCATTGCTGCAGTTTGGTGGTTCAGTATGATAGATAGTTCGTGCCAGGTAATTAGTAGGAAGTTTGCTAAGGTTGTTAATACTATACGTATATAATTAATGGTCCGCGGTATTGGCCCAATTGATTCACGAACGTCAGGCCTTGGAATGATGGTCGACTGTTTTGGGTCAGGTTCGTCGACTACCCATCTTCTTTCGATCGTGGGTTGCTGGTTTTGGTTCTGGTTCTGGGGCTGGGTCTGGGTCTGGCTTGAGCCGCTTGCTAACAGGGATCACCCCTTTCCATTCCGTGGCTTCTCGAGAGATTTCCGCCGCGTGTTCCATGTAAGCGAGTCCACCAGCGCGATCTGTACGGATGGATGCATCGTGACTTACCTAGCTAGTGTTATAAGGTACCTACCTAGCACCCTCATCCCTAGATGCTTTAAAAAGAGAGACGAGACAGACATAACCCATAACATCCATCACGGCTTGACGCACCAAGAAGAAGAAAAAAAGCAATTTAGACTATAGGAAAGTACGGTACAGTACAGTACCCCACCAAGTGCACGTCACCGGCAGGCCCCATTTTAAAGTATGCCCTATCAATCTATGCCTTTAGCTTTTTCTGCTTGCTTGCTTGCGGGCGACCCGTGGAAACTACCTACTTACCTACCTAGCTTAATTGCAACTAACTTGTTGTATGGAGTTATTGGCGTTATTGATATGTTAGGTTAATATGTGAAGCGAATATAGATGGAACGTCCTTCCTGGTGGTGGTTGTGGGTCGCCTATTTCTTTTCCGGGTTAGCTTAAATCCAGGTTCAAGGGACTCGCACCCACTCCCCTTACCGTACTGTACAACAAATACGTGAGCTTGGAGAACAGAGTAGGAGGTGAGGTGAGGTGAGGTGAAGTGGTGTCGGACTGGAAGCTCGTAAGGCTGCATTCATTGTGCCTGAATCGCCGCCGGGATGCGTTCATGCTGCACTGGAATGTTACCACTCGTCAGAACTCGGAAAACCCACCCGCGCAACCCCCCAAGACGCTGATCATCGCTTGGCTGCGCCTCTTCCAATTCAATTCTCGGTACGGAGATTCAATGGTTGAGTGCGTGTTGGGCTCGTGCCGACAGAGAGAGAGAGGTATTCGGCTGAGTCAGTGATTTAGATGATGATGATGACTACCTGCGCCAGCTGCACTGGCAGGCAAAGTCCCGGATCTCTGGATGAATTCGAGATTGAAAGAGAGAGAAAAAAAGTCCTGTCCGCGGTCCACATCCACACTTGCGGGCTGTTCTGTTAGGCCTAGGACGGACGAACTTGTTTGTAGTTAGTGATAATTGAGGCGGTTAATGCACTTGATATTAAAAGCCTCGTAAGCCACCGCCGACGAAGCGAATGATGATCAGGGGCCTTATCACACATAGCATCTGAACTTGTGGTTTGGGGAAGGAACCCCAATGGCCCACCCCAAGTTTCTCGAAGGAATTTCTGGAAAGCTCATCATGCGAATGCCAAAATGCGCAGGATGCAGGATGCAACGTGTGAGGTGGAGATTGGATTTCAGGATAATGCTTCATTTTGATTGATTTTTGATGCTTCCCATTACTTTACACTACCCGCCCGTGGCCCCGTGCCCGAAGTGTTATCTTGGTTTTTGGGGGTCCTGCGACGAGACCGAACATCTGGTGATCTCTCTCCTGTAATGCGTATGGCGATGATGGACCAGCAAGCATCTTCCTTCCCCCCTATCCTATCCTATCCTGGCCCGGACCTCGAGATCTTGCGATCCATGTTCCTTAATTCTTCCCCTTATCAAACAATGTTTGCCTATTCCCTTCTCTCGAGCCATTTTCTCGAGGAACCGATACCATTATAACGCCGATGTAAATGCGAGCCGCCGATATTATCCGCCAAACGCCTCTCCATGATTGATGAACCGACATGCTTTGTGATAGGAAAAGAAACAACGAGTGGGTATCAGTGACCAATTTGCCACCCCGAATAACAAGACAGATTCGAATGGCAGAAAGGAAAATATTGTACTTTATACATTAGGACATGGGTGTTTGCTCTGGTGGTTCATTTTTCGCGTCGAGTTGGTGTTGGTGCCTCGATGACGTTTCATACCATGGCACCTCCTTCGAAGCTGTGGCATCCTCGCTCGTGCCTCTTCATATTGCTTCGAACGCTGAACGCCTTGCCGCATCCCTGGTGCGGACACTTGAAAGGCTTCTCGCCAGTATGTGAGTGAGAGTGGATTCGTAGACTTGAAGGTCTCGAGAACGCTTTGTTGCAAGTTTGGCAAATATATCGATCTTGAGACTGAGGAAACGAAGCCGCCGATGATGGAGAAATATAGTGGTGGTGTTGCCACGGGTTTGCGCCGGATGATGGTGTCAGGGTGACTGAGACAGGCATCAATGGTGGTGGAAATTGCTTTTTATCATTAGCAATGAAACGAAACAAGCTTTTTGCGGGGCAACATACTTGAGGAAGAGGTCTTTGATAGTACAGTCCTGAAATCTGTGATTGCGGTGGGGGTGTCGGCTGCATCGGACTTG